GGCGGTTTCGTCGCTGTTCATGGAGTAGGTTGGGCGGCTTTGCGGAGCACGGAGCGTTTGAAGGGCGGCGGTGAGTTTCGAGTTCGTCGCCAGCGAGGAGCAGGCGACGGCGTAGTCGTCAACGTCGATGAACTCCAGGGCTCGCGAGCGGCGTTGGGCATCGCGCTCGTCCTTGTGCATGGCGAGGACGGTGCCGCGGAGGGTGAAGTGGGCGTCTTGCCACTCGTGGCGGAGGAGACGGGTTTTGCGCTTCTTCATCCAGCCGCTGTGGGAGACGTCTGGATCGGACTTGTGGGACTGAGCCGACGGGGAGATTCCAGCGAAATGGGAAGGTCTGAAGTGGTTATCTGTGGTATGGTTTGGGCGAGGAGTATTGGGGAGGTCTTCTGGGCTGTCGATGGGTTGCATTGCCTGGAGTTCATCTACAGGAGCCATTGTGGCGAAAGAAGGGCGTCGTCGATGGTTGTCAGGCTTAGCCGACGATGAGCGAGAGATTGGGTCTACTGGCGGGCGCAAGTGGTTGCCATAGACCATATTAGGTGGGACTGATTGCGATGCTTCCCGATCAAGAGGCTCGATGGGGAAAGCAGTGAGAGGGACGTCCATTTCTGAAAATGGTGTGTTTGTTTGGCGAGACATATCTAGTGGATATTGGTAAGGGTTATATTCCTGAGTTGCTGTGGCCGAGCCTGCCAGCCTTGAACCCATTGAAGGAGTAACGGTACGTTGACCGCCTGAAAGAATGCCATCGGAGCCATTATCGTCTGGTATCATGAGCTTTGGAAGGTTGCGAAGGTTGTTGGCCATGTGGAGGGCTGGCTGGGAAGATTCAGGTGGGGAGAGGGTCGGGAATATTTCCATCCGTGGATTGGGCTCATGATATGTGGAATTGTTTACATGTTGGAAACTGAGGAATTGTCGAACATTCTCCTGAGGATCTCTGGGTTGTACTCCATTAAGATTCTCAGCGTTGAGTTGGAACTCAGGCAGTTGACCGGGGCCGAGAACATCAGAAGACGCGACAACGGAGGGAGCTGCATCTGATTTAGGACGCACAACGCTTCCGGTGACAGATTCCTTCCCAGTATTCGGAATAATGGTGCCGTCAATCCTGGTGAACTGATCGGGGAACTCAGTCGCAATGCGTGCTAGCTTTCGTTGTTGCTTCTGGAATCTGCTGCAATTCTCGCCTTTGGAGCACGCGTGCAGTTTCGGTAGGAGCTGCTCGATAGCCACGATAGAAACAGACTCAGCTGGAGAGATTATATCGCCATCCGCAAAGCCACGATTGGTGCGACCCCGTCGACGGGATGAACCGCGAGTTGGAGCCTCAGAGTCAGTGGAGAAACATTCCGGGCTATTATTGTCTCTTCTCACAGACGTACTCCTGCTCAGCCTTTGGGAAGAGCCGGTCCGATCAGGAGCTGCTGCCGGCGCTAGAGGAGCATTCGTCGGTTCGGTACGGAAGCCCTGTATCAGATTGATCAACCGATGCCGTATACCAAAGGAGCTAATGTCAAGCTCCTTCAGATCTTCCATCTGGAGATCAAGGAGGACAGAGCCCGAGATATCATTCCGGATGAATCGCTCGACAATAGCATCCTCGAATCCAGATTCGTACATCCATTCTGCAACTTGCGTAGGTGTCCAGGACCGCACATCGTCGAAGCCAGCAACGGGAGCGATATCTGGGAGACTTGAGGATCGTGATCGTTCAAAATAAGGAAACTGTTCCGGCGGCGTTGGACTGGCTCTCTTTGGCGAGTGTGCCAGCAGTCTCGAGCTTCGGTGTGGTGCTAGAGGCGAAAGAGAAAAGTACAATTCCAAATCTTCCGATTTCTCAAAAAATTGCGAATCCAACGAAGCTCGGAATAGGTGAGGTCCCGATGGCCCTTGCACGGGTTTGCTTTTATCAAATTGGAAATTAAAGGACCCCTGATCCGATTCATCTGGAGTCGGAGCTTCATCCTCAGTTGATAAAGTTGTGGCACTATCATTACCAAACTGCATATTTTATTAGCTAGTTTTTCCCCATCGAGGCGATGCGAGGAACTGTGAACTTACAGATTCGACACTTCTTCGGGGAGAGTTATCTATTGGAGAGTACTCTGCTTCATAATCGGTGTCAAATATCTCAGTCGCCTCCGATAGCGGTCGAGAATTGTAGGATCTCGTGGAGAGAAATGACATGTGGTTCGCCATCGGCTTCTGTAGCATTTGTACACCTAGCGACCGCCGTTGCTGAAATACAATTGGAGCCTCCTGCAAGATATAGGTTCAGCGAAGAGCTTCTTCTTCTCTTTTGTGGGTGAACAGAAGGACAACTGCATACCATAACTGGAAAGGGAATTATAATAAAGGACCCACGAAATATGATATAACCCAGTTGTGGGATCAGTGGTAAGACAAGGAAAAATGATATTTAATAGGAAAGTAGCATATAAAAAGGAGATGGACCGTTGCCGGTGTTACGCTTTTTCTAACAGTTTAGAACAGAAGGAAGGACGACTATCAAAGCGCCTTCTGGCCTTGAGTGATATAATAATATGAGAACAATATATAATGAAACAAAAGGAGAAACGGGTATATCAGAGCAGGAAAAACAAGATCACATCAAGGGGGGAAGGACTTTCTAGGTCGAGCGGGTAGGTGGGCGCTTCGAGATATATGTAGACTTGGTGTTTGGGAATTAAGGCTGTGTGTGCGAAGGGGGGGGGGGGGGGGATGGATGGAACGGCGGCGGGGGCGACTCGGGAACGGCTGGGGGGATGTATATAGTTACTTGTACCACTTCCATAACAAACAAAGCTTATGTGCTGGGGGGGAAAAAATCGGGACTTCCAACATACCTACCGGACCGTACCCGGAATACCCCCCACCCCAAGGACAAAATGTGTTCTCTAACCCCCCCATCTGCACGTTTCGCCCGGAGGTTTTTGGGTCGTAAGGGGGGGGG